CTGCTATATGGCCATGGAAGTGATATTGTAAGTTGTTAGAGAAAAAGAAAGCAAGTTATTTAGTTTTAAATTTTGTCTGAAGTTGTTACCTAAATGTTTTTCCATGAAGCCCCTCTGGGGATTTTCTAAAACCTTCATGAATTTAACTGAGCGGGTAAAGAGTTAATGCTGCAACAAGAATGTCTGTCTAAAACCTTCATGAATTTAACTGAGCGGGTAAAGAGTTAATGCTGCAACAAGAATGTCTGTCTTTTGCAAATGTGGAAGGCTAGGAGTGTGACCCATCATGAGTGTGACCAGTGATGCTGAGGAGACCTATGCGCGTGCACATAGGTCCATTCTTGCATCTGTTAATGATTGAGAAACCCCAGGCTCCCAAAAACAATGGGTACGTCCTCTAAAACCATGTGGTCCTCTAAAGCACATTGGCTGAACTGGAAGATGAGTGTGAAGAAATGAATGATAGAAGTCATGTCGATCTTCAGGAGCATGTATGAATGTATTCCCGCTTTCAAGAGCCTTCTCAGCCAAAACTCACAGGGGCCATGTTCTCCAGGGAGGAATACTAATCCAACACTACTGTGAGGAGTGTGATAAGAATTCTCTAGCTCCCAGGAAGCTAGGCACAGAACAAGGGCATGCGACATCAGATAATTTGTAAGTTCCTTAATGTCTCAATTAAATCTGTGGAAAATCAAAACCAAGGAGAAGAGTTATGAGAATAAATTTAAGGTAAACCCATCATGTTTGAGTGTGAAAGAGGCAAGTAAGACAGCACAGAGGGGCGGGAGGAGCTTGAGTGTGCTGGGATCAGCTCTAGGGGTGGATTCAGAGGTGCAGTCCTCCCTGGCCGTCTACGCTTGTGCTCAGGCTGTGAGCTAGCACTGGGGTCAGCAGCTCCCTGCAATGATATCAGCAGCGGTTTCTATAGAGGCCTGGGGCCCAGATTCCTAACTCATGAAGGTTTCTTCCTGAGGCACCAAGAAAGCAGTTTATGATTTCTGGTTTTTAAATTGTCTATCTATCTTTCTGTCTGTCTATTTATTTATGTATTTATTTTCACCAGTCAATGGGTACTGGGTATTGCAAGCCCCATAAAAGTTCTAAGTTAATTTGAGGCATCCAAGATTCATTATACCAGGTGGTGGGGTATGCTGCCAGAACAGAAGGTAAGTATTTCTGGGGTAGTGAAGAGCAGAGGGGTACACACTCTCATTTTATGATTCTGAGCTCAGGTTCTGAACCGTCAGCACCAAGTGAGAAGGGTACAATTTCTGACTTTTGATCCCTTATATTTTTCTCTGCCAAAAATCTCCATGAGAAAAAGCCCTAAAGTGGAAACAGGGAACATGTTTTCATATGAGCCAAAATAATTGGTTATACATGCTATTAAAGACTGAGAATGGATTTTAGAATTTATTTTGTTGAATTTGTCTGCTGATATAGCCAAAATTATTGAGACGACCACATGGCTTTAGAGGATATAGTTGTTGTCTTTGGGACCTAGAGGTTGGTCAGTTATTAAAAGCTGTCAGTGTGGACCAGACTAAATGGATTTAGACATGAATTCCTTGCAGCAGGGAAATTTGTGGATTGTCTGGTTCCATTCAGCTAGTGAAAAGCGTAACTTAAAAATATGTTAACTGGCTACAGAGGATAAATGATTTTGCCAGAAAGTGTGAGACAGATAAAGAGAAAATAAATGTAAAATATGAAAACAAAGAAGGAAAGAAATTTCATCTGTGAAATGGACAGTCAGGTAGCCCATTGTCAGGAGTCTGTCCTATGAATTTTATTTTTATTTTTTTTTATTTTCCAGTTTAAATTTAGATAAGAAACGAGGTTGCTTCACAAGTTAGTTCCAGGTCCCTCTCCCATTCCCTCCCCTCCTCCCGTGCCCTCCCCCCAACCCCCCCCCATTATCCCCTCATTCCCCCAGGGAGGGTGAGGCCCTCCATGGGGGTGTCCATAGTCTGTCATTTCATATAGGGCAGGGCCTAGACCCTTCCCCAAGAGTTCAGGGTGAGAGTGCATCTCTCATTGTTCTATGGGAGTCCAAAGTCCGTGTGTATACTTGGGATGGGTACTGATCTGCTGCCCAAGACTCAATAGATTCCCTAGGCCTCCTCACTGACACCCAGATTCAGGGGGGTCTTGATCAGTCCCATGCTGGATTCCCAGGCTGATGCCTGGGATTCAAGAGTTAACCTTTGTCTGGTCAGCTGTTTCTGGGGGTTAAACCAGCCCAGTCTTAATCCCTTTGATCATCAGTCCTCCCTCTCTGTTACTGGCTTTCTTGAGTTCAGCTCAGTACTTAACCAAGGGAGTCGGCCTCTTCTTCGATCAGCCACTAAATGAAGTTTCTCTTTCCCAGACTCTCTGGCCATAGGATTGTAGGCTGGCACTCTCCAGATCTATGTCTAAAATCCATATATGAGAGAGTACATGCCATGTTTCTCTTTTTGTGACTGGGTTACCTCACTCAGGATGGTTTCTTCTAATGTCATCCATTTGCCTGGGAATCTCATGATTCCATTATTTTTTTCTGCTGAATAGTACTCCATTGTGTAGATGTACCATATTTTCTCTATCAACTCTTCGGGTGAGGGACATCTAGGTTGCTTCCAAGTTCTGGCTATTACAAATAAAGCTGCTATGAACATAGTGGAACAGACATCTTTGTTGTATGAATGGGCATCTTTTGGATATATGCCTAAGAGTGGAGTTGCTGGGTCTTGTGGTAGATTTATTCCCATTTTTCTGAGGAATCTCCATACTGATTTCCAAAGTGGCTGAACTAGTTGGCACTCCCACCAGCAATGGAGGAGTGTTCCCCTTTCACCACATCCTCTCCAGCATAAATTGTCATTGGTGTTTTTGATTTTAGCCATTCTGACAGGAGTGAGATGGTATCTCAGAGTTGTTTTGATTTGCATTTCCCTGATGGCTAAGGATGTTGAGCACTTTCTCAAGTGCCTCTCAGCCATTTTAGACTCCTCTATTGAAAACTCTCTATTTAGTTCTGCAGCCCACTTTTTAATTGGGTCCTTTGGTGTTTTGGAGACTTGCTTCTTGAGTTCTTTGTAAATTTTGGAGATCAACCCTCTGTCAGATGTGGGATCAATGAATATTTTTTCCCATTCTGTGGGCTGCCTTTTTGTCTTGCTGACTGTGTCCTTTGCCTTACAGAAGCTTCTCAGTTTCAGTAGGTCCCATTTATTAATTGTTGATCTCACTGTCTGTGCTACTGGTGTTATGTTCAGGAAGCTGTCTTCTGTACCAATTCGTTCAAGGGTACCACCCACTTTCTCTTCTAAGAGGTTCAGTGTGGCTGGATTTATGTTGAGGTCTTTGATCCATTTGGACTTAAGTTTTGTGCATGGCGATAAACATGGATCGATCCGCATTCTTCTACATGCCAGTCTCCAATTATGCCAGCACCATTTGTTGAAGATGCTTTCTTTATTCCATTGTATATTTTTAGCTTCTTTGTCAAAGATCAGATGTTCGTACATGTGTGGGTTAATACCCGGATTTTCAATTCGATTCCATTGGTCTACCTGTCTATTTTTGTGCCAATACCAAGCTGTTTTCAGGACTATGAATTTTAAATAGGATATTTCCCAACATTTTAGATGCCAGATGGACTCTTGTGATACACTCTAAAGTGTGCTACCCAAACACCCCCCAATGTCACATTCCAGTTATCTGCTCAAGACAGTGTGTTGTTAGGGGTAGGCTGGTGGAGAACTAGTCCTTGAACTTGTTTGGGGGATGGAGTATCACTTGAGGAGTGTGACAATCAAGGAATCAATGAATACTTATACTGATAAAAGGTGTCTCTTTTATTGTAAGTACTGTTAGTTGTTTACTGTTGCTATTAACTGGGTCAAAAAAATCAAAGAAATTGCATTGATCATGCAGGTTAAGGAAAATGATGTTTTATGTGACCTATTATGTATCTCATTACACACAGCCTCTTTCTTTATCTGTAGTTTCTCCTTCTCTGGCTTTACTTATTGTGGTCAACTGGTCTGAAAATGTTAATGGAACATTCTAGAAATAAACATAAAATTTGAATAGCTATTCTTAGTATTGAAATGGGATCTTGATGGTTCTCTTCCTACCTAGGATGGTGATACATCATCTCTCTAACCAGTGTATATTTTCTTTACTTGGTTACTGGTTATTGTTAATTCCTCATTATATTACATGCTCGTTGTCTTAGACACAGAGAACTTAACATTTGGCACCATGTGTTTTAGACACACTGTAGGTCTTTGGTCTTCATCCTTTTGGTGAGGAGTGTAATATAGTTAGCTAAAATGTTTTCATAGCTCTAGTTGGGCTGGCTATGAGACTGCTATCAAAAATGTCATGTGTGGGATAAGAACAAAACAGCACACTCTCCCCTAGGCAGCTACAGCATGTGTCAATGCACCCGCTTTAATGAGTGAGGGGTGCCTGGCATTTCATCCCTGTGTGCATGCTGGGCAAGAGAGGCATGGCTAGTACCTAGCTGGCATGGCTATGCAGGTCTCTGGCTGGAACATCCCTTCTAGATAGAAACTTGACCTGGGAGATGCATCTCTCAGTTCTATGGTGAATTCTGTCTTGGCTTTGGTTTTCTAGAAACCACATCCCTTACTGTCCTGCTTTTTCTCTGTGCTCATGCTGCTGCTCTCAAAGTGGGGAAACAACAGATGTCTTGTAGGTTTTTATAGCCACATGAATGTTTATAAATCCTTGAGATTAGAGCAGGTCACTCAGGTATGGTGAAAGGATCTGAGAGCATGGGAGACCTCAGCCTTTTAATTGGAGTGGTCCAAGAAAGTGAGAAGGAGAGTTATCCAAAGGAAGAGGAGAAACACTGAAGACCGGTCAGGCAGGAAGCTGGGGAGGAGAGAGCTAAGCCATGGCCCTGTTTTCTGAGCAGTGTTGGGGATGAACGGTATTGCCAGCTTGTCTGTGGCCTGGCTGACCTTCCTTCTGTCTTACAGGTGAAAGCCACCGATGCAGACGCGGGGATCTATGGCTTAGTCGAGTATTCTCTTTATGACGGATTCCAAAGCTATGAAGCACCGCCAGCATTCCAGATTGACCCGCGGGATGGGCGCATCTGTGTCTCCCAAGACATAGACAAGGAAAGGGATCTGAGCACCTTTGACCTTCTGGTGAAAGCAAAGGATGGGGTAAGATTTTGCTATTAAAACACCGAACACTCTCAAATGTGGGCTGCAGTGAACAGTGGAAGCACAGCAATGGCATGACAACTAACCATGTTCCACACAGCCACTTCCCCCCTCTAACGCCAAGTGCTGTATCAGCAGCAGCAAATATTTCTAACAGACAAGAACTTCAAAGACAACAGAATTACTATACGTTATCGGTCAATCTTTGATGGTTTCCAATAAGCACACTGTGTTCAAGGTTCCGGGTTATCTAATTGTATCTTTTAATAATTGGTGTATTTGGATCCACATCCAAGTGAGACCACAGATTAATTTGATTTATGTAATCCTTGAGTTCCCACATCACCCTTATCCTTCCTATGGCCTTTTAAAAATCAGGTCACTTGTCCTGTGTGTTTCCCGCATGCTGAGTGCGGTTGATTGCATTCTTAGGGTTGGTTTAATTTGCTCTTTTATCTTCACTGTTCCCTATGCACTGGGGCCTGAGTGCTTTCGGGTTTCTTTAGGGCTGTGCATTTTCTATCAGCAGAGTGGTCTTTCCTTAATTCTATTATTCCTTTTGCATTTACTGTATGGGCTGCTTTAACACTAATGCTCTTATGTCAACTGTTTATTACCCTGAGTAATAATTCATACAGGAAAGGCAAGATAGTCTCTCTCTCTTTCTCTAGTGTTTTGTATGGTCAGTTCATACTCTAACTGATACTAAAGGTGGCTATCTTTCCCCTATTTTGAATATAAGCTCCTTGATCTTATATATTTAGCAGATTCAATACACCGATGACCTTATGATTTTTAAAAGCACTTTATTATTTTATTTTATGTGCATGGATGTACTGCCTGCATGCGTGTCTGTGCACCTTGTGCATTTCTGGGGCCTGTGGAGGCCAGAAGAGGGCACAGGTATTGGACTGACCTAGAACTGGAGCTGCAGATGGTTCTGGGCAGCCGTGTGGGTGCTGTGGAGGTAAATACGGGTTAACTGTATTTGCCTCCAAAAATGTAACATTTTTCCAGCTTTATGAGGCATGTGCCACATTGACAGCGTTTACAGACACCCTGCTGGGTAAAGCACATCAGAGTTCCCTTCTGTGTGACCCTAATGTGTGCCCCGTGATTATCGCCCCATCCCTCATATCCCTCTCAAACTTCTGTAAACATCCTACCCTTATGCTATGAAATAATCTTTGTATTTCCCTTGTAACTTAGATCACATGGCACTTCTCTTCCTGTGCCACATTTATTGTACTCAACACAATTATATTTAGTACCATCCGCAATGCCTCAAATAACAGCTCATGTGTCCTGGCTCTGGCTGCCTCAGAGTCATCTTCATTATCGCTTATCTTGAACTGGTGAGCACGTGTGTAGACTGTGCTCACGGTTCCACTCTTTGTGATTGTCATACAGGCCCTCTCCAGGGGTGGACTTCAGGATGCTGTCTCCCAGCAGTTTTGCTTGCGGCCCGTCGCCTCTGGCCACCCTCTGCTCTAACCTAGCCTCTGTTTTCTCTTCTTAGATGCAGGTGGTTTTAGCTGTCCCATAATTCACTGTTCATTCACAGAAGGATGGGGTAGTACAGAAATTTCCTTCTAGGTCCTTTCTCTCTCTCTCCTTGGAAGAGTTGTAGCCCATGGCTACCAGAACACCAGATGACATCATGAGAATTAAGTGGTAATCTCAGTCTTTACGTAGTTGCTGCTTTCTTTCTCAGAGGAAAAACTGCATCTGGAAACATGGTGTCCTGTGTTACTGCATAATCTTTATGAAGTCCTGTGATAAGCTCAGTGTTTCAATTGTGTGAATGTTACCTCTTTAACAAACACTCAGTGCAGTATTAGCTAGCAGCATATATTGCTCAGAATCATTTCGCTAAAAAGGCTGGCACAGATGAAGCTTATGACCAAATAGGTAGCCCCTAAAAATAATCTAGACAGCATTCGCAGGATAATTAAAACAGGTAAAGTATTTTAGGTTTAAGCAGTGGGATTTCTGGCCATAATGTGTTTATTTAAAACAATAAACAGAGCCTTGGCACAGGCCCTTTAGTTATTTAGAGTCATTTTGGCAATTCGTGGGTTTTTTTTCTCAGATTCTTTCTCTTTCTAGTAAATGACCTGCATGTCCTTGGTAGAAAATTGCTGAAAATCCATTTGCAGGGGGTTCCTGAGAGGTTTTTATCTATTGATAGAATAATTTTTCTTACAAAGCACCCCAGATGTTCTCTGCTTCTTCCCTCCTGCTCTATTTATCTTTGTGATGACTGTCAATATACATTTTCTAGTCCAGTCACTTCTCCTTCTCTACTGACACCACATCTGAAACATCCTATTTTTGCTGTTGCAGTGATTGCTATTTATCTCTCACACGGAGGATGCTATGAAATTATATAATGGAACCAATTAATTGGATTGGCAGTCAAGTTATTATCTACAGTTAAGCTCTACAATTTAATTATACCATCCCTCTGTCTAAGCTTTGTATTTCTTTTTCTGATACATTGTCACAAACAAAGCCCTCATTTTTTGGTATGCATTAATCCTTCTCTCCTCATTTTTGTTACATCCGGAATCCCATAAATGAAACATGTGCCTGCAAAACAAAAAAGATTTCTACTTCATCTTCTCACTCAAGGTTTAAGGAAGAATTTTGACAGGCACTCTAGAGAGTAAATTGGCTTAGCACCTCACCATTCTGTGTCTTCACGATAAGAGCTGGCTATTGGAGTTGGGATCCATGGTCTGTGTGCAAATAAGCTTCCTGAATAAAGGAGTGTATCCATTTATTTTCTAATGTTATCCCTTTGCATAAAAGTATTCAATTATTTGTCATTTTAAATTGTGTGTGTGTGTTTTCTTGTGAGTGCAGGAGACTTAAGAGACCACTGACCCATCTCTCTAGCCTGTATTATATTCAACTTTTTATTCTATTCTTTTGTTTCACTAATTACTAATTGACTTATCTGAGGATGGTGCAGTTACCCGGTGTTCCAGTTAAGGTGTTTGAGCCAAATCTAAAATTTCCCTCCAGCCATTCATTCAAGGATTAAATCTGACATGTCTTGGCACCAGTCTCTTCTCTGAGAGCATCAACTTCCCCATCATCATTACCCCTTCTCACCTCACATGATCAACTCAAACTTTTTACTTGGATCAATATCTCAGTCACAATTTCACTCTTCAAACTCATTTACTGTCACCCAGCGAATTCTACATAAACTCCACTTGACTTGTGGTTGTTCCTTTATCTTCTCTTTATGATGGAAAATAGCTTGTAGTCCTGGAGATTCTTCCTATTTACTAAGGCCAAGAACTGCAGTAATTGCAGTCCTAAGGTAGTAAGATGGCTACCTTTCTGTCTTAGTTACTTTTCTATTGCCATGAAAAAAAAATGACCATGGCAGTTTACAAAAGAAAGTGTTTAATTTGGGTTCATGGTTTCAGAGGTTAGAGTTCATGATCACTATGACAGAGAACATGGAAACAGGCAGACAGGCATAGTGCTGTGTCAGAAGCTGAGAACTCACATCTACACTCATAAGCACCAGGACCATAGTTCTAACTGGGAATGGTGGGAGTCTCTTGAAACCTCAAAGCCCAACTTCAGTGACATACCTCTACCAACAAGGCCACACCTTCTAAGCCATCCCAAACAGTTGGACATCAACTGAAGACCAAATATTCAGACATATTAACCCATGGGGGCCCATTCAAATCACTGTAACTTCTAATTCATTTCTACTCCCTTTTCCATTGAAAACCAATTCAGTCTTGGGCCTCCTGTTTCAAGAATGTGTTAATGCCGCTGGGAGAGAATAAGGCATCGCCACGTTTATTTGAGCCAAATTTGAAGCAAGCTTTAATTAAGTACTGATCAGAATGATGAACTCTGGCCAGGTCCATTCCAGGGTTCCCAGAAAATGACAAATCACGTTTGGCAGAGGCTTATAAAGGCAAACCCATAGGACTATGTATTTCCCTCCAGATTCAATCAAGGGCAAGAATATATCCTGACATTCTTTCTACCTGTGGACCTCCTGCCTACATGTGGTCTAGCGTATCCAGTGATATTGGGTCAATCAAATTTGTCTAGGGGAGCAAAGCCATGTGACTTGTCATCTTACTTAAACAATAGTCTCTGGTATTTTGGGAAGTATCTGTCCTTGGGCAAGAGGCTTACAGATGTTTTATTGATCTCTTAGGCACAGTAATTAAAACTTCCAGCATATTTTTGGCCTCACAAATGCAGTGCAGATACCCCTGCTTGTCACTGTCCTGTTTCCAACTCCCAGTCACTTAAGACTTCTGTACCTGGCTTATCCCATAGTCTTCATGCCCATCTCTTTGGTAGTCAGCTTTCCTTTACCACAAGAAAATATCAAAGCTGTTTAGCTTTTATAGAGAGAGGTTTTCTTCTGGCTCATGGTTTGAAGGTTCAAGTCTGTTAGAGGAGCCCATTCTTTGGACTTCTGGAAAGGTAAAACCTCGAGGCGGAAGCACATGGTGGGACATTACCTCATACTAAGGAGAACAAAGAGCAATAAGCCCCCATCCTGCAATCCCCTTCAAGAATAAATCCCAAGTCTCCTAAGGACCTCCAGCAAGTCCACAGTCTGAAGACTCACAGCATCTCCAAACAGCACCACCTGGGGACTAAGCCTTAAACACAAGGTCACATGAGGGACTTTCAACACCCTAATTCTAACAGCCAACATTCCTTACCAGGGTCTTCAGGTTTCAGTGCAACCATCCAACCCCAGCCTCCTCACACTTTGACTTTCTCATTGGCAAGGACCACCACTTCCCCTGAACTCTTGATTCCAAGCTCACTACTTCCTGATAAGCATTTTCATCACTTAGCTTAGTGCTTCCCATGCAGACAGGAATTCCTCTTTGGTAAGATCACTGGAGTATTATATATCATTAAAGTCACTCCCATGCAAATTCCCTTCCTGGGAAACTCTGGTTAAAATCCCAGCTCTGTCTGAGCTCTGCTTTTTC